CCCTCTGGCGCGTTCGGGGGCGGGGGGAAGTGTCCGCGGAGGTTGAGGCGGGGGCTTCCTTGGGGAGAGGGCTAACTTTGCCTCTTCCGTCATAAGACCCACCGCGGCCCGGTACCATTTGTCCTGCGGACCGGTACCGGGCCGTGGACCGGGGGTTGGGGACCACTGCATTAAATTAATACTTAGATCTTAGCAATCACTGATATGGGTGATCCATATCACCACTGATATGGGTGAGCAGATGCTCTTTCAGAGAAAGAACAACAAAGTTGAGTAGTAACATTTAGTAGGATCAGGCAAGGTCACATTGATCTCAGGGATCATGATGAGACCAGAAATAAACATTGAACCAAACAAGTAGGAGCATTATACCAGCACATTAACTTACAGTGTTTCTACACTTCATATAGCACTTTGATACCATCTTAACTGTCATGGCTCTATCCCATGGAATCTTGTGATTCATAGTTTAGTTAAGTCTTTAGAAATCTCTATTAGAGAACTCTGCTGCATAAAAAGCACTAGAGCTTTTTAGCAACAAAATCTTAAGTCCCTGAACAAAGTACAAATTTCAAGGTTTTGTAGGATGGATCAAACTTTTGCAAATGTGTAGTGTAAGATACACTCCAAAATTTAGCTGTTGAATTTAGAATACTGCCATACTGCAAACAAGCTGGATATATATGCAGAGGTAGAAAATTTAATGAAATAGTACCACTATGTCATATTAAAACTTTATTAAAAAAATAATAATAACAGTAATTAAGATTTGATTGAACAATGAACATTTCTTTTAAATATGCTGATTCTAACCAAAATCATTTCAAAGGACTAAATGTTTTAGTACAATATAGTACAGTATAGCTATTATGGATTCAAGTGGCTGTGGATTGCCATGTCCTGTTTTATTCAGTGGTGGAGCATGCATGCTGGCGGCCAGGGGCATCACTAAGGGGGTGCAGGGAGTTCAAAGTGCACCAGATGACACCCTAAGAGGTGGCATTTGCCTGCGTCCCTTTATGCTCTTGTCTTACACTTTTTCTTTACAAAAATGCAGTTTAACAGAATTAATATTGGGCTCTTTCAGACTGGTCCGAAGCAGCAGCAGTTCTCGTTATTTTTTTCTGGTTTTTGTCACCACTGTGACAAAACTGAATTGTGTATCAATACTTTAGGGGGGCTGTTTGCAGGGATTTCTTGGATCTGCATAGGATTCTTCCGAAAGTGTTTTTTTTTTTTTTTGCTTTTGTAGCAATTGTCAGATGTCCATTAGATATTTTAAAAACTCAGAGAACTACAGCGACAAATACTGCAACTTCCAAGGTTGCCTACTGTACTTCCTTTTGCCATCATAATTCTGTCTCACCTACTGGTGGTGAGCTGTTAAGAGGATCAGCTCAAGCAGAAATGCACCCTATTCACCCAAGTAAAAGGGCATAGTACTTAAAGCCAGCCATGTTATGTTGGCACATGAGGTAGAAAATCCCACAAGAAATTCTCCATATCCCTGTGAGTAAAAATGCAACAACAAGAAGGTAAATAAGAATTCTGCTGCCTGAGGCAGCTGCCTCACTTTATCTCGTGGCATCATGGTTTGAATATTTGACTATGACTTTGGAGATCAGGGTTTGTTTCTCTGTTTGGCCATGAAACCCACTGGGTCACCTTGGGCAAGTAACAAGCTCTCAGCCTCAGAGGAAGGCACTGATAAATTTCATCTGAAAAACTCCTGCCAAGGTCATCACAAGTTAGAAACGACTTAAACAACAACAACACATTGGTCTTGTCTGTTGAGCCAGATGGATGCCTTGATTTGCAACAGCAGAAAGATTTGCTGATCTTCAAATACGTTTGCAATCAATTCTCTGTAGTATGTACTCTTTTTGCACATGCTACATTGCCACATTTGTTAACTTTTGTAAAGATAGATAAGACATGAGGAATGGTCTTGTTTTCCACCAAAATGTCTAACTATGATAAGAACGGATGATATCAGGAAGCCACTTCCTGTTTCAAAGTTGGTATACTTAATAAACATCCTTTCAGTTCTAAGACCACAATGTAGTTACTACTTAGATATTAATGAGTAACGTTTTTCCATGTCTTCCTTGTAAAATGTAATTGCACAAAATCCCAATTTAATTGCACAAAAAATTTCACAAAATTTCAATTTAAAATATTTGAAACTATCATTAGAAGATCAAGGGTGTATCCACACTACATAATTATAGCACAGTTTATCTGCCAGGTTTCCAGCCTTTGAAATCCTGCAATCTATAGTGTCAGTGAAGCACTAACTCTTTTCTACAGAGGATCCTGAATACCTAATAACTACAAATCCCAGGCAATTAAAGTGGTATCAAAGTGCTGTAATTGTGTGAAGTGGATACACCTGAATACTCTAATTTAGGAAGAGAAAAGGGCAGAAACTCAAAGGGTAAGGAACTGAAAGCATTGGAATAACAGTTAGTAAGAAGGGAAGTGAGAGGCAATAAGAGAAATAACAGAACTGCCTCTGACTTACCACTGTAATCTTGGTCAAATATGAACACACATGTTTACTTTTGCACACATGAAGTGTCTGACTGACTGCCAAGTAAATCACAATCTTGTCTTGTACTCCTATGTATACCTACCTGGGGCTAATCTCCTAGGGAGAGTCTGTCTTACTTCTGAGTAAATGTACATAGGGATCACTGTGTGTAATTGTAGTACCGTACTAAGCAGCTTTGTTTGGGCCTCAGCCCTACTTCATTCCTTGTGAGTTAGTTCTGAATAAATTGAATAGAATATACTTGAAAAATCTAGTGAAGATATTTACCTGAATTGAACTTATATTATGAAAACCTAGCTCTATAACATTGATTCCTGTTTTATATCTCCATATTAAGACAAACAACTAGGAATCAATTCTTATTAAGCTAGTGGAACTAATACACTGAAAAGAGTCATTGACTGTGGAAATTTCCTGTAGAGTTGTCTGAACTTGATGGCTCACATGTTGAGTGTCAGCCTGTTTGGTCTGTCTTTTTGCCGTAGTCAAGATGAACAAATGTCTGATACATATAACACATTTTGTTCATTTTTATTACGGTCATTTTTTTCCTACATAGCCATTAGAATTCCCATCCCATTAAAATCATACAATCCAGAAAGCAACCAGAAGCAAAAATGTAGTCATCAAAGTAACAATGATCATATCACAAAGAAGGCTGGCTCTACCATTGGAAAGACTAAAGCACCCACCTCAGGTGGCTGGTGCTATAGGGACGGCAACATCTCACCATTTTCACTAGGTAGCCTTCTTTGATTGCCAATAATCTAACATGCTCCCTACATATCTAGGAGGAAGATGTCCCTTCAAAAGTGTTCATATAAGATTCAGTTGCCAGTTCATTTGGCTTCTGTATGTGGAAGTCCTCCATTAAAACAACTAACTGACACAATTCAAAGTCTTCTCTCTGTCCCACCACAGACACATTTGGAGAGGATTCAGGAGAGGGCCTTCTTGGTGGCTGCTCCAAGACTGGAATTCCCTCCATAGGAGGCTAGGATGGCATTATTTCTGCCCTGTTTCTGCTACCAAGTAAAGACCTTTTTGTTTAGACCAGTGGTTCTCAAATACTGGTCCTCCAAATATGTTGGACTTCAGTTCCCAAAATCCTTCATGTTGGCTACATTGCCTGGGGGTTCTGAAGGTTGAAGTACAAAACATCTGGAGGACCAAACACTGGTTTAGACAAATATTTTTATTACTATGTTTTAAATGCTTTTCAATGAGTGTTAAGAATTCCTTATTTGATTGTTTTTGTATTATAAATGGTGGTAGCTGTGTCTTGTTTTAACCTACAGTATATGGTAAGCTGCTTGAGCCCAATGTGGGATATAAAATAAATAAATAAACACAGAGATAAATTAGTTATGGGGGGGGTGACTCCAACATCCCCTGAAAAATATAGAATATTTTTCTAGAGCAAATGAATTGCAAAGGGTAGTTCTAAAAAGACTTGAATGCAAGGAGATTTGAATTTAAAAGAAGATAGACAGACAGACAGACAGACATTAAGAGACCCATAGAAATTTATTTTAATAATGACTGGAAGACTTGGATTGCATGTGCATTGGTTCACAGGTATGCATAAGCCTGTGGAAGTTGGAAGAGTGGGTCAGCAGACAGGATCTTACCTTTTATTTGTACTTGCATAAACAGGCTTTAAGTCACTCACTTATCTCTGTGTGTCATTGCCTATTTTGGATAAGGATTGTTGCCTGCCAGTCAGGATTGTAGATGCTTATTCCATTTCTCCCACACAGTAGAATTAGAGCTACAGATTGAAGCTTTAGACTATGTTTAGGAATAGTTCAGGAGATAATGTTTTGTGAAGGTCTGAAAAGTTACTTTTTGGACTACAGTGTCCAAATTCCCTACACCAGCATGGACAGCTCTTACATGTTGCCATCCAAAACAGCTCTGAATAGAATCTAG